TTAGGTTTTTTTGCTCATGAAATGTATTCTTGAGCTGAAAAGGATAGAAGATATCGCTTCCATATGAATATACTGAAGATTATTCAGAAAATGAACGTTCAAAGACGCGTTTTAAAACGAAATGCGTTTAGCAGCGTTTTGTATCAGTAAGGTTGTGAAATGTGTTTCATAAAAGAAGCGTTTCAGAGCGTTTATATAACATGAAGTCTGTGAAACGCATTCTATATGTCCAAGAATGATGTAAAACGTGTTTTGTTTCGAAAAAACGCTTGGAAACGCATTGATTAGTTAATGAAACGCGTTTCGCATTGCGTTTCCTAATATTTTTTACGCCATGGGCAGTGTTTTATTCAGAAAAATTTCGCCGCCGAAGTTCACGACTTTTTCACCAGGAGTCTTCGATAGCCATACAGAAGTATTATTTTTGCTTTCGCGGTGCTGCATTTCTTTAAATCGGAGAAACGACTCTATATCAGACATTTATGCTTATCTTTTTAACAGTTTTTATCACTACTCTTTTACAATTGCAACTTGCATCAGTTGGTTTTTTCTGACATTAGTCATCTCTAATGCCACTACCAGCGGTGCAGGTAGTGTGACATTGTCTTGAACCACAGTCGTATATATCTTTGATGTGCATTGCAGCAGCTACTGAAGAGTCATATTGAATGCCGTCAGCTTTTTTCCAGAATGATTGGGTTCCAAATTTTGTCAACGAAAATCGACGATTTTGATGTATTTACTTTTCTACGCACTCTTCACAAAGTGTATTCAATTGTTTGTCAATGTGAATGTGGGTGGCTTTTTCAGAAGAACATCCACATCCACAAATGTTGATCGCATCGGAAAATATCTATTTCTTCAGTTGGAGCCGAAAGTATTATATTGTGTAGACCGTTCCTGAAGTTGATCTTTAATAAACAAAACCTACACGTCTCCTATTGCATAGAGAAAAAAAAGGTTCTGACAAGGTTTGATGAGTAGTGAAGTTATTTCTAAAAATTAAGTGACCATTACTTTTGGGAAATCCTGTACATTGGTTCCTCAAAATTTGAATATTTTAGCTTTACTTGTTTTTGAATGTTATGATTTTATTAATCCTTTGCTTAATGCTCACGACATCATTATGCCTGTATCTGTAAATTAAACTTCTCCAAGTAAATAGATCCTATCAAGACAAAAAAATACGTTAAAGTTTACTCCTTATAAGGTCTACGATGTTCTTTCTACAGTTTATATTTTTAATTTATTGGACTGTTATAATAACTTCAATAAGGATTTATGCACAACAACAGAAACATGATGCACCATGTTGAATATTGTTACCTACATCATCAGAAAAAGTATTATTTCAAAATTAATTTTCAATTCAATATGTTGAACTCCTTCGGATAGGATTCTAGTAATAGAGCAGAAATCTATAGATTTCTGTGAATAAAAATAGAAAGAACGAGTTGAATATAACATTTACCTTTAATGAAATTAGTCTACGATATATTGTTTGAAAACGGAAGTCTCGGTTTCTTTTTAAAAAAATAACGATGAGAAATACACTTACTTCAATGCAAGTCTTAACTAAATTTTGTAAGATGTATAGAGTTCGCCACTTTTCTCAATACAAACTCGACTGTCATCTAGGATGATAGAGACTTCGGCACTGTATTGGACCGAAATTTAATTAGAATTGAAGGATGCAAAATTCAACAGAATAGACGATATGTGTTGTTCAAATATAAGTCGGTTTGAGTCTTTCAATGAAGCTATTATTACTTTGTTTCACTTATGATACCGTATTGTTGTATATTCTGTCACATAAGCCATTCACTTCGATTTTGACCGTCAGCAGGAATTTTTGTTTATTCATAGAGAGATCGGTAAATAGTTTTACACTGATATTCTCTTTCTTATGATTCAATATAAGTAAAACACTCACCACGAGTACAACAATAAACGCTATTCTTTTGAAACAAAGGATTTATACATGCTAACTGTGACAACAACTGATAGAATATAATGAATCACATCGAGTATTCATAGAAAATTATTAGAATTCTTGTAAGCATGTTGCTATTTATTGACAGAGTCCTTCTATTGGTAAATGGCACAATGTCTGCATCTCAACTTAGATCGCTTATTGAAAAAATCTTTTTCTAGTTATGTGCACAGAAGACGCCCACCCGAACAAAAAAAGGAAGAAGATTGAAGCTATGTTTATCTCTTGCCATTTTCACATTCATTTTCAAATACTTTAAGAGTAAGGGGTATTGACTGTGCATCGTTTGAATTTTGAGGATGTGGATGTGAGGTGTGGGTGAGTGTGGGTGTCGGTATGCGTGTGTGGATGTGCATGCGCATGTGTGGGTTCCATTTTCTCGACACCCACACCCATACCCACACACTCATTCAACGTCCATATCCGACACCCACACTCTAAATTTCATGGATATAAATCTGTTTCATAAAATTGAATTAAACTTGGTTTTTTCTTTTTATTCCTCGTTTAATATCAATTCAACATGCACAATAAATCATAAAAAAGATTGTTAAAGAAAGAGAAAAGACGCCATTACTTTTTGTTTTTTTATTGTCGATAAACAATGTTCTTTCTTTTTTCTTTTTTTATAATTTTCCGTGAGTAGGCATTTTCATTATTGTGATAAAATCTCGAGAAGCAAAGAAAAAACAATGATGCTTTTTATTGATTACAAGTAGTCGGTTATTTCCAACTTCTAACATTAAAAACATAAACTTGATATTTTAAAGAAATAAGACTAAATCGATCAGTAAGTATTGATTCAACATCAATTCAAATCGAACGTATAGAATTTCAATATGTCGAAGTTATTTCAGCGATAAAAATGCATTACAAATTTCGAATGAAATATTTTTTTATATTGATAACCTAAATGTAGAATCATAGGAGAATTATTCCAACAATCGGGTATGACATGAATTCGATCGAATTTTATGTGAATTTCTATAAGACGGACAAAAATTCGGGTCACTGAATAACATTCGGATCCCTAGTGTTGAAATTCGTTTGGATTCTACTGTCGGAATTCAACGTAGGAGTTTGATCGACCTCTACTGTTGTTATCAGACACTAATTAGTACTCAACTAATTAAATAGGACTGAATCGTCGAATCCGTTAGTGGTTCTGTGACCCGGATTCCCATTGGATTTTGTCGACTGGTCGTGTTCGATCAGATCGAGTCGAATCCGTTATCGGATTCATTTACCTGGGATTTTCTAATAAAATTTTTGAATAATTAAAATATCGAAGTCATACTGAAGAAACAATATAAATTCATTGCGTTTAACTTTTTTTCTTGACTCAATCACCTAGCCTAAGAATGTTGTTGAAATGTCTCTTTTGAGATTTTCTAGCATCATATTCGTACTTCAATTTTCTACTGATAGAAAAATTTCGTCAGAGGTGACTCAGCAGATAAGAGCAGTTTTCTTTATTGAGATAAAACGGTTCAAACGGTTTGAGTACATGCCTATTTTTAATAACAATAGTAGAATACTACATTTTATAGTGTTATTTACGAAGTAGCTTTGCTAATATTTTGATCAAAATTATGGAAAAATGACAGTCATATTCATGATTCCTACAGAATGGCCCAAAAGTCACTTCCTTAAAGTTTTTTCGCTTCATTTCACTATTAACTGCAGTTCATTGAGTAATTTTTTTGGATAATAGATAAATACATAAAGTTTTTATTTTTAAAGACAAACTTCAAAAGCATTGTTGAAAGATAAGATCTTGAGCTGAAATACAAAAATTTAGTCTGATTTATCTTTCTAGAAAAACATTACATAGCGTTTCTCTTTTAATTACTTTTTGTTATTGAGTAATTCGAATCTTTGAACTATCCAATACATGAACGGTCTTTTTACGGAATTTTATTTTGATGTCCTTAGAAAACCGAAATGAATAGTAGCAAATCAAAATTTAAGCAATTAAATCACACATCGTTCATAAGTATTTCTGGAAAGGTAAAAAAGACTAAATTTTTGTATTTCAGCTAAAGTTCTTAGTTTTCAACAATGCTTTTGAAGTTTGTCTTTAAAAATAAAAACTGTGTATTTATCTATTATTCGAAAAAAAATCACTCAATGAAGTGCAGCTAATAGTGAACTAAAACGAAAACATTTTAAGGAAGGGACTTTTGAAACGACTTGTACATCGTAAGATTTGTTCAACAATCTTGACTTCATCAAATATTTCTTTTCTGAATTATTTTTCCTGAAAGAATTTCGAAAATCTTATGTTAAAATACGTTTATTATAGAATAAAACTAGAAAATGGCTCTATCGAAAAATGCAATTTCAATTGATGTAATCCAATCAATAACGGACATAAATAATTTATCATTTGTTGCTGGAAGTACAACCGAAAAACAAGCATATGCTCGACATTACGCTCAACAAAGTGTTCAAGATATTGATATTATTGTTATTCAAGGTCGTATTAATTCCGAAAAAGCTCTTATTAAAACAGATATTCCTGGTTTCAAACAAATTCGATTTCATTTTGTAGAACAATTAGGAAGTCTATCACGTTTAATCCCAACATTAAATTCTAATGGAGAAACATGTCTTAATGGTTTACAAATGAAAGAATATCATCGTCAAAATATAATAGGTGCTAGCACAGTAGGAGCTCTAGCTATGGTTACAACTCAAGCCAAAACAGATTCTGCCGCAGCTTCTGTTGCTGTTACACAACAACATGATTCATTATCATTAGCCAAGGATTTTTCTGAAATATTGTTGAAACTTTCATCTCGTGAACAACCTTTATCGGTTAATTTACTAAAAGAACGTGTAAATAAATTTTGTCATGGTTATCTGGATTCCATTCGTCGTTATGTATTACCATTAATTGTAAATGAGCATACACAACAAATAGCAGATAAATGGAATTTAAATAAACAATGTTTTTCTAGTTTATTAAGTATGAATGGCCCTTTTTATGGTTATCGTTTACCTGATAAATTAAAACAACAATTAGAATTAATATTAAATTTTTATGAAAAACATAAACATTTATCGACTTCATTAATATTAAAAGAAGAAATTGATTATTTAAAGAATTGTATACCAAATGAGATGGATATTGTTCCAGCTATACAAATAAAAGATTTTTGGTCGGATGATGTTCAATGGTTTCTTGATCGTTTAAAAAACGATCGTCCTGATTTATATGAGAAATTAATTCCAAATGCGTCAATGCATCTTATTGCTAAATGGCCAAGAAAAACTTCAAATCAGGATGAACAACTCGGATTTCGTTATTCATTTTCAACTCTTGAACGAATGCTTGCACAACAAAGGACTGATAATGAACAAATATTAAATGGCATTGCACGATCTATTTATTATCGTTACTTAAAATCATCAGAAAATTTGATTCCATCTTATTTTGTTAAAACAACTGTTTTATGGATGTGTGAAACAATGTCAGATGTAATCAATAATATTTGTGACGATACAACAGAATTAATAGCAGAACAACTTGCTTTTGAATGGGTAAAATTTGCTCAAAAACAATTAAAAGATGGATATGCACCACATTATTTTATTAAAAATGTTAATTTACTTGAACCTTATAAACCTGATTTATTAAATAAAGCATCAGAAATTCTTGAGAATATTCATTTAAAAGAAACAATCGAAATAGAATTTATGAAAAAACGAAAACAAATGGTTGAAAATCTAAATAGGCAAAAGGAGAAATTTTTGAGAGA